AGATTCTCCAGCATCTGCAGTTCCTACTATCTCATGCCAATTTCTAATATGTTCAAAGGTTGCATTCAAATTCCAGGGTCATCTAAGTTCCACTTTGCCTTGTAACTCCATATTATTCAGGCATGCATCTAATAAGACTATTTTGTTTCTCAATGTTGTTTTATTTTCAATTTAAAATTCTCCTTTCATGTTTAAATTCTTCTACTACTTGTTGTTTTGATCTGCTCTCTAGGTATATGTTTCTGCAATGTACCCTCCGCTTCGTTGGAAGTAGATTACTCCTTATTCCCAAATCCAACTTTGATTATTGTTCTTTCAGAACTATACCCCACCTCTCCCAAACTTTCTGTGCACATCCATCAGCAGCTGCTTTCAAAATCTGCTGAAAGAAACCTTTTATTTGACCAATGCCATGCTGCTATTTTAGCTTTTTCTGCTTAATATTTTACCTTCTTTTACATGTCTTGTTCTCTTGTCTGACTTGGATTCTAACTAAATTTACTTCAGTTTATAAAGTGGCTTCACAAATGTTAACATGACTGAAGTGGAAATATCACTCTTCTCTCAACCTTTTGATCTTAGTTACTTTGGTGCTTTAGTTACTTTGGTACTGTCTTTAAAGGATTATTATCCAATTAAAGCAATTTTCTGTAATGTAGATTTTGACTATCATTATGAAAATTTTGATAAAGCCTGTAATCTAAGTATGTCTAGTTCCCCACTCACCACCCACCACCCTTCCTTCTGATTGCCCTATCACCAACAGCAAACAGCAACTAACATCACCAGTTTCATGACGAGAGAGAGCGCATTCTGCATGAGATGTAATGCACTGATCATTTTGTTCTAGTTCCAACAGAAGCACATGCCACGCTGGATCAAAGAATCTCCACAAAACCAATGGTACATGTCAGAAGAATCAGAAGTTGCACGCCAATTTTAAAGACTAACTACTGCGAGTCAAAGTTTCTGATAATCTAAATGATGCGATTTATCAATAACGGTTACAAGAACAATCATGCACCTTGGTGAAGAAACACCATACAGCAAACTCCATCCAAACTTGCAATACTTACACATGACCAATAAGACTTTCATTTTGAATAAAGCAAAGATCACAACTAAGATTTATGCTAAATATTAATATCATTTTTTTTTGAATGAGCTCTATTGCCCATTCGTTAATGTTAATCCTTCTGTATTCATGGTGCTAACTGTATTGGACAGCGCTCTGGTATATTCAGCAGGTGAAGGGTGGCACCTAATGGACATCTGCACATATTTTGTAATTCAAACTCACTACATATCGACGTTTCTTAACAATTATTCTTATTTATATTTCCTGTTTTTTAAATCTTATTTACAAAGTTATAAAGGCTAATCAATGACACAGTATTTTCATAAAGCAACTACTTATAATAAGGATAAAGAGCCAAATATGTTAAAAACAGTGATATATTTTACAGAGTGTGATACACCGAGGTTTAATAGTAGTAAACTGACAAGTAAAATACTAGCGTATTTACAATACTATCCTTTGTATTTCGGTATAAGTTGATGTATCAGTCAGAAATAATATTCCATTCAGGAGCCTGAGTCTTCCACACTGGATTAAGATATTGCCAAAAAAGTGCATGATTTCTATTGAGAATTGCTATAAACCCCAGAGCCTCCTTCTGTCCAGATTTTTCGCTGTTCATGACAAAATCTATTCTTGAAGTTAAGAGACAGATTGACTGTTCCATTATTTTGACAGTAATAATATATATAATTGAAGTGAAATGGAACAGTCAAGTCCCAAAGTGCTTCATAGAGGGATAATCAAGAAAACAGCCATCAAGTTGAAGATGCAAATGAAAGCATGGTGGTCAAAAGCTTTGTTAAAATAATAAGTTATGAACAGAATTTAAGATAGGACAGAAATGAAAATGGTACAAGGTTGAAGAATGTATATTCCATCAGAAGTCCTCACTTCAAGAAAGAAGGTATGAGATGAGAAAAGTATAGCAAAGTTTATCTCAGCTAGAATTCTATGTTAACTGAAGACCCTAGTCCTGTGCTCCAAGCAGATAATATGGCCTAGACAGTTGAAAGCACAGCTACCCATAGTAAGTAAATGAGTAGTGGGTGGGGATGGGATTGGAAAAAGACAGAAGACTGGGAATTTTTTTTTGTAGGGAAGGAGAAGGTTACAGAGATGGGAAGAATGACATCTTGGAAGGATTTAAACAAGATGAAAATTTATAAATTGATGACCAGGAAAATGATACATGCTACTTGCTAAAATTTCACAAAACTTTCTACAATTACAAAAGGACTCGCCTAGATGCCAAAAGAAAATTGGCTCAAACCTAATTTTGGTAGTGGCACTAAGTGAATTGCTCCTTCAGAGAGATACTCAACAGGCCAAATGGCTGCATTTATAATTCCAGTCTCTGTCTTGCATTTTTTTATCCTCTCATGGAATGTAGACAATGCTGGCTGGACTAGCATTTATTTTCCATTCCTACTGCCCTTCAGAATGTAGTAGTGAGCTGTTTCTTGAACCGGTACTGTCCATTGATGTAGGTAGATCCACAATGCCATTAGGGAGGGAGTTCTAGGATTTTGTCCCAGTGACACTGAAGAAACAGCGATATCATAATGGACATCAGATTGCTGAATGGCTTAGAGGTGAACATGCAGGTGATGGTGTTCCTATATATCTGCTGCCCCTGTCCTTTTAGCTGGAAGTGATCATAGGTTTGGAAGGTGCTGCTTAAGGATCTTTGGTGAATTTCTGCAGTGCATCCTGTAGAAGATATACACTGCTGCTACTGAGGTGGTGGAGGGAGTGGATGTTTGAGGATGTGGTGCCAATCAAGCAGGCTGCTTTGCCTTGAATGTTGTCAAGTTTCTCTAAAGTTGTTGGAACTGCACTCATCCAGACATGTGTGGAGTATCCATCTCTTGACTTGTACATTGTAGATGGTAGGCATGCTTTGGTAGTTAGGAGATGAGGTATTTGCTACAGTATTCCTGGTTTCTGTACTGCTTTTTGTAGCAACAGTAAATGGCTAGTCCAGTTCAGTTTCTGGTCAATGGTAACCTCCATGATGTTCATTTCCATTACTGTTTGCAGTTAACAAATTATATTATGTCATTACAGACGACATTTGTTCTTTGTTGGGAATGAATGTAAAGTTCATGCAGTTGGGAAATGGAGTCCGAGTAGTAACAGCTGAAATCATTTTCTACGTCTACTTGGAGCACAGGACTACAGTCTCTACTTAAAATGAAATTTTAGCTGAGATAATCTTCACTGTGCTTTTGATTTTCTCATCTCATGCCTTTTTTCTTGAAGCGAAGATTCCTGATGGAATATGGCTTCACAGGCCACTGCAGTCCCTTCCAGTCACACCAAAATGACTGATTAACAGTTGTTATTTACCATCGCTTCTTGCCCTATCCCATCTTCAAATAATATCTACTTTCAAGTGGATCCCACTGGTGATCAAGAACAATGATGGTTTTCATCCAATTTGAGGATGTGAAGACCAGTTGTGATGCCTCAACTGAGACCAATTAACTTCGCACTGAACCTGATATTTCCATATAATCGAGTATGCTATTGTGGAATCCTTTCCACAAAAAATTAAAGATAGTAATTGGCTGACAACATCGCCTTATTTTCACAACTGCTTACATAAAATCAGTAGAGATATCAGTCGTTCCCAATATGTGTCAAATTTTATCCATTGATTCAAGCTTCCCATGTCCAGCTTTAGATTTAGAGAGGAAACATTTTATATTTTGGTCGTTCCGACTGGCAGGGAAAAGAAATTGTTCAAGAGCAGGCAGCGCTTTACTGCCAGACCAGAATGGTCTTTATTGTGAAGACAATTAAGTCATCACCATTTTGAGGAAGACCAAACGGTAAATTAAACTGATACTTTAATCTGTGGGCTGCATTAACAGCGATTGAGTGCCTTTCTTGAAATAAGCAGTAAGAAAAAAAATTTTCTCATCTTTTTGAATTACAAATGGAATAAACAGGCTTTTATCTGAAATTTTTCTGTGGGCAGGATTCAAGATTTTTAAGTACTATTTTTGCTTTCCCTGATACTGTCACATGCTGCTGAGGTACAGGCTCCAATACAAAAAAGTATTTGACATCAGTTTTTAAATGACATTTTTAATTATCTTTTACAAATTGAATTTTAATAATGTACTGTATATGCAGCATAAACAATTTCAAATTTATCCTAAATGTTAACAAAATAAGAATTGTACTGTTTTTGTACAAAAATATTTTAAAATATGGAAATTATTTCTTGTGTATTGTGGTTCAGTTGGCTATAATAAATATATTTCTTTTAATATACAAGTAGAATTACATAGTGGTCGTAACAACACTCTCTGACAAATTATTATAACATCAATATACTGTTGATTGTTACTTTTAGTAGGGATTACTGATTATTCAAATCCAATTAAATACAGTTTCAATTTGCAGTAAGGTCTCTAAATCTGGTATGTTGAATTGACCTTTTTAATAAATGACAGTTCAGCAAGTTTATCACTAGAGATTTAAGAGGGACAAATAAACCACGGAGCGTGGTTTGCATGTGGATTGAACTTACTGAGAAAGTGGTGGATATGGATACAGTTACAAGGTTTAGAAAACATTTAGATAGGTACATGAATAAGAAAGGTTTGGAGGGACATGGGCCAGGAGCAGGCAGGTGGGACTGGTTTAGATTATGCTCGGCACGGACTGAAGGGTCTTCTTCCATGCTGTATGACTCAACAACGATGACTACCTGATGATATGATAGCTGCACATATTATGTTTGCCTTATGAACTGAACAACATTACTTGAATGTCTAAGGGGTGGGTCCCAGAAAAATAAGGCAAGATGTCAGGAAATATCTTTGTATGAGTTTGTATTGAACAGTAAAATTGGAATGGGGGAGGGGAAAAGAATTGAAGGTAACCTTGTGACATTGGTAGGTAATTGTTTAGGATGGAGAGGGCAGAGAGTAGCAATATAGGGAACAGTCACTGGTAGAATGTGCCAAATGGTGTTCTTCACAGATTTGTACTGGAGCCTCATGCAGAGGCCTGTCCCACTCTCAAACATGATATATACCATTTCCAGAGAAGGGGATGGATATGTGTTCTAAGTGGCACATTCGTGATTTAAGAAGGCAATTACACGTGTCAAACTGCAATCATCTCAAGCTGACATGTTTTTCATGAGTTGGATGTCCAATGACAACTTGTGCACTTCACACCCAATAGGTGGAGGTCTAAGTGAAGTTCTTTGAAGTGACAGGGTACCTTATTCAGTTATATTTAACACTTTAGGGTATGGTCCCAGAACACCTTTGGGGTTAGCCAGGTGCCCTTGGTGGAATGTAAGCTGCATTTTCAAAGAGATAGCTGTTAAAAGTAGACATTAATGTACATAAAATGTACGTAAACTAATTGGAATTATCAAGGAGTTGTCAACAGAGCTGTCAAAAAGTGCTGTCAAGGCATTTAAACTGCACTTTAAATATTTTGGCTATGGGAGGAGTACTGTATGCAGTTTTTAAACAGATCAGGGCTTGATATTTCACTCTGTTGAAGTAATCTTGAGGTTTATCATTACAGGATTAGTGCTGAATGTCTGATTTTACACCTTTTCATTATCACGGTGGTGTGTTCCTTAGCTATTAAAACAATGTACTAATCAACTACATTGATGGCATAAGATCTACACTGGGATTAAATAATATTTTTGAGATCTACCATTGTGAATATTTGTTAATTTGGCATGGAAGGGAGAAGGACAAATGATTATGCGGGAGTCAGGGGCAGTCACAAGTTGCTACCAATTTGGCATGGAGCGTAAAGGAAGTGTGGTGGACAGGTGGTATAGGGTATGGAAAGTATGAGGAGCCATGGAAGGTGTGTACAGGGCATCGGTTGACACAGAGAACACGGGGGCTCTGAGAAATAGGTAGGAGTATGAGGTAATATGAGTTAGCATAAATTGGGCATAGGAGTGTGTTCAGGGATGAAGTCTGGGCGACTGTTTCATGTTTTATTAACTTTTTTAGACCTCACCAAAGTGATGGAGTATAGAGCCAGGCCTTGCATCCAGACCACCTCCACATCTAGCACCAATGTCCTCTAGGGAAGGAAATCTGTTATCATTACATTGTCTGCCTTTCATGTGACTCAAGTCCACAACAATGAGGATGATTCTGAACCACCCATTGAAGTAGCCTAATAAGCCTTTCAGTTCAAGGACAGTTTGGGATGGGCAATGATTACTTGCTCAATTAGTGACACCCAGGGAAGAATAAAGAAAAGAAAATAACCAGAGGGCATGGATTAAAAGTAATTGGTGGAAGGATTAATGCGGAGGTGAGTATGTGTTTTCACCCAGGAGATCTGAATTCACTACCAGATAGGCTGGTAATGGCAGAAACTCTCATCATATTGAAAAAACATTAAAGTGCTAGGCAAAATCAGAAATTTCTGGATAAATCCAGCCAGCCTGGCAGCATTTGTGAAGAGAAAGCAGAGTTAACACTTCAGGTCCAGTGACCCTTCAGCAAAAATTTGTTTCTGATTTCCAGCATCCATAGTTCTTTGGTTTTTTTGGAAAGTGCTGTGCAACAAGTGCACAAAGTGGTATTAGGCTGGATAGACAAAATGGTGTCCTTCTGTGCTTTAATGCTCTAGAATTCTACAAGTGTGTTTTTCACTTTCACTCCATATTAAATCCTGTTGAATCATGCAGTATTTCACCCTCTATGTTAATAGCTCTGCCTTCCTCTTTTTATAGTCATTATTTCCCATACATTTTTTTGGCTATTTTTCTTTTCCTTCACTTTACCCATTCACTTCATAGCTTTTTATAAGATACAGTAAAATATAACCCGTGATCATTCACAGACGCCTGAAACTTATAAAATGATAGGAAAGTCAATGTTTATGCAATTCATGGTTGGTTCGTTTTGAAGGTATTAGACCAAATGTTTGTACCATTCCAATTCTGTTTTGCACTGGCATCTAAAGAATATCAAGTAATCTGTGAAAGTAGCTGCATGAATGCATGTTGGTCTTAGTGTTCACTTGCAGTAAAAATAAAGATCTTCGACCACTAGTTTTTCACTAAACACGCTTCATTATCGAACAATATCAATGTGTCTTTTTGTAGACAATTTTAAACAACCTGTTATGATACACTTCTGGAGCTGGCAGGACTTGCACCCAGGTCTTCTAGCCCAGGTTTGGGACACTACCACTATACAAACTGACCTTCTTGACAGAACTTTGTGTGATACCTTTGATGTAGCTACTTTAATCATCCTGTTATGACACAAATAACCTGGACCTTCTGGTTCAGAGGTATGGATTTTACTAGTGCACCACAAGAGCCCTTGCTTATTAAAGGACGACCAAGTAAGTGTATTGGTGTAAATATTTTCAACTAACTTCTTCAGATATGTTACGACTCATGTCTGGGGCAGGAGGGACTTGAACCTTGACCTTCTGTCACAGAGGTAGGGACACTAATATTGTTACAATCCCAGCTGATGGTTATACTGTACAAGGTAGATCTCAGACTGAAAGCTGGTTTGAGACACAATAAGTTTTATTTTTTGCTAATTGTTTGCTTTGGTGGTGGTCAGTCACTGAATGTACAAGAGGCTGACAATGTGACTTTAATAAAAGAACATAAAAGTTCATTACACATAAAAGAAAAATAATGCTAATTATATTACAAGA